GAAATTCGAGAGTCCAGACGAGGGCAACAAAAATGGTTAGGGGGCTGGGGCACCTGAGTTATAAGGAAAGGCTGAGGGAAGTGGGCTTATTTAGTCTAGAGAAGAGAAGGCTGAGGGAGGATTTAATAGCAGCCTTCAACTACATGAAGGGTGGCTAGAAAGAGAATGGGACACTAGACTGTTGTCAGTGGTGGTAGATGACAGAATAGGGAGCAACAGTCTAAAGTTACAGCAAGGGAGGTTTAGGTTCAATATTAGGAAGAATTTTCTCACTAGGAGGGTTATAAAACACAGGAACAGGTTACCCAGTGAGGTGGTAGAAGCTCCATCCTTGGATGTTTTTAAAACCTGGATAGACAAGGCTTTAGCTGGGTTGATCTAGTTGGGGCTCATTCTGCTTTGAGCAGGTGGTTGGACTAGATGACCTCCTGAGGTCCCTTCCAACCCTCATGTTCTATGATTCTATGACCATATCCCATCTAGCCCACATGGCAATGGTTCTCTTGGGTTTGGCTTGGCTTGTCCATGCCATGCTCCAGTACTACCCCCTGAGCACATCAGCAAAGCATCTCATTCCCCTTGGCCTGGAGAGAAACCAGGTATTGTGCTGTGCCTGACCAGGCACAGAGCCCAACACCTATTACCTATTTTTCTCCAAGCCAAGGGAGACTAGGGGCCTTTGTTACACCTTGCACTGTGAGCTGCACAAATGTTGATTGGTGTTTGTGCTAGCTCGGAGTTTGAAGTAGTCACACCCTTAATCTAGAAACCTGCTCTGGCTGTTCCCCACCTGCACAGCTGTGACTTGTCGCTACAGGCCTGGTGAGCTGCGAGCTGCCTCAAGAGGGCTTGTGAGCCAGGACAGGCTTCTATCTCTGCTGTATGGATGGGGATATGAGAGATTGTGGGATACTGGAGGACTTCAGTTTAGGCAGCACATCTGTGGAGAGTGGCCACACCTTCATGCAGGAGTGGGCAATTATTTCATCTGGAAAGCCACTTAATGAGTTTTGGGGACCTATCGAGGGCCACTTCCATCTCTCTCTTTCTCTTCTCATCTGTCTCTCTCTTCTCTCTCTCTTCTCCCTCTATCTCTCTCCATCTCCCCCTCCCCCCCCCCCCCCCTCTAGAACCTGACCAGAACAGTAGTTTGCCAGGAGCCCCAGTGCTCAGCTGTGAACCCAGACATGGACTTCCACTCTGGTGGGTAGGTGGTGGCATCAGCTGTGGGCTCAGCCAGCAGGTTCTGGAGCCCCAATGCAACACTGCCAGCAGTATCACAGCTGACACCTGCCCAATATAGCTGCAGCTCCTGCCTGCGTCCACAGCTGCTGCTACCATCAGGTTCTGGGTCGGGGCTCTGGGTGGGAGCTTCCACTGTACTGGGAGGCCATCAGTGTCAGCTGTGGAAGCTACCAGCAGGTTCTGCATCACGGCACCTGAACCTTCCAGGGACATCCACAGGTAATACCATTCTCTGCCTGCTGTGTGGAAGCCCCCCACCCTGGGTCCACAGTTGATGCCACTGCATCAAGAGCTAATGCTGTTGAGTGGAAGCAGTCCCACCCACCTGCCCAGCACCATGCGGCAGCTGAAGCCACCAGCTGCTCGCAGGCCAGCTCCAATAAGTTGGCAGCTGTCCACCCATGGGCCAGACTGAATCTGTTGGCAGGCCGTATTTTGCCCACCTCTGCCTTAATGGAACAGAAGCTGGGCAATGCAGACCAGAGATAATCCTACCCTGGAGTGGCATAGCTTTGAGCTATATGGTGAGTGCTTAACACCACTCGACAGTATTCATGTGTAGACAATCCAGGGGCTAAAACAGCAGTTCCCAAACTGCAGGTCATAACCCCAAATGGGATCACAATATCAGTGAATGGGGTTGTGGGGGTGGGGGCCTGAGGGTTGGGAGTGAGGGGCCATGCTGAGAAAATGGGGCCATAAATGGGGTCATGCTGAGGAAAAATTTGGGAAGCACTGGACTAAGAGCTCCTAGAGCTGACCAGCGTTGCCAGGTCTTAAATATGAAATTATTGTATTGGAAGCTCAAAATTATCATATTTGCCAAAAAACTATCGTACACTGAAAAGATATGCAAATATGTATGCAAATACATTTTCTTCTTATTTACTTTACATTACTCACTGTAAACTAGCAGTGAGTGAGTGAGAACTGGGTCATCAAAGTTAAAATTTTTATATTGAGACAAGTAGTTCTAAAAAAGTTTTGAAGCAAGTCTAGTCAAGTATAGAATGCTCAGGATAGACTTTGATCTTGAGCTGAGCAGCAGGATGGCATGGGAGAAGATACAGGAAAAGATAAAGCAGAGACTGGGTCTATGGCACAGGCACTTCCTTTCCAAGGTGGGGTGTGTAGTGCTTGTGAAGGTGTTGTTGTTACCAGTGCTTCTGTACACCACACTGGTCTTCCCTCCTTCCGAGTGTGTCGCCCACAGGATCCAGAGGGCCGTATGCATTTTTTTCTGGGGTTCCAGATGGGAAAAGGTCACTTGGTAGACCCTGTACAAGGACAAGAGGGCTGGAGGCAGGGGCATGCCAGACATCCTCCTGTTCCTGTGGGCCAAGTATATGAGCTTGATCTGCAAGCTGGTGACGGACACAGAATCCAAAACCACTCACCTCGTGAGATATTTTTCAGGGCACATCCTGAGACACTAGAGGTATTCACCCCAACCAACCAGCCACAGACCGTGGATCATGGGCACACTGTGGTTCTACGAGACCCTAAACAAGTGCCGCAGTTTGTACAACCTGCAGAGCGCAGACCCAGTGACCATGAGAAACCACAGGAAGATCCAGAAGACAGTGAAACTAAGGGACACCACATTGCCCACGGACCTGCTCCCAGGCGACATAAGCCAGGCTGAGTGGGAGCGCATCAACCACAAGGATCTGCACAAAGATCACAAGGACCTGAACTGGCTCATAGCCCACCGAGCTCTACCAGTGAGAGCCTGGAGACATAGAGAGGGGCATTTGGGGAAACCCAGCTGCCTGTGGCCCAATTGCCACGGGGCCACTGAGATGATAGACCACCTCCTCTGACTCTGCACCTGTGCCAAAGAGGTATGGAAAAGGGTGAAGCAGCTCTGTAAAGTGGTGGCACAGAGACGTGTGGCACAGGATCACCTAATGCCCCCCAAGCGGAGAAGGGGTGGTGACAGCAAAGAAGATGAAGGGGCAAGCAGAACTGAAGATAGCAACTGCGACAGCAGCAGTGGCTCTTCCAGCGGGAGCTGCAGTGACAGCAAGATAGAGGACATTTGAACTGAGTATGTGACCTTGCAAGAGGGGTGGGGATGGAAAGGAAGTTTTGCCTGGTCTGAGGGACTAAGGCAGGGGTCAGCAACCTGGCACATGTGCTGAGCATGGCATGCAAGGCCATTTTGTTCGGCACACCACCGCCAGCCCGGGCCTTAAGCAGCTGCTGCCAGCCATGGAGTCCAGGCTGCTCCCAGCAGGCAGCTGGGAGGCTGCAAGCCCTGCTACAAGCAGACCAGGTTCCATGGGCCAGATGCAGCCAGGAGGTTGTGAACAGTTGCTCTGGGCTCCAGCATGCTGGCGCTCTGGCACTTTCCAAGGTAGACATTATGGTTTTTTCAGCACTCCGGCCAAAAAATGTTGCCTACCCCTGGGTTAGGGTTTTGTTTGTTTTGTGTGTGATGTGCACAGTGTGGATATTGTAATGGGTTCGGGTGGCCAGTGGGCCTTTGTATGGGCATACGGGTGCAGTTTTTGTAACGTGTGAAGGGGTTTTTTTGTGGTGTGATACTAGTGTAGATATATATAACCTTCTATATAGCTATATATAGACATATATTTTTTACAAAACAAAAAGCCCAGTCAAGTATAGGCCTCTTGACAGCTCAGATCAAGTGTAGTGGTTTCTTAATCTGGCAGGGGAAATACCATGCATCTGTGTCTGTGAAGGCAGTTTTCCTGAACTGCATCGCAGGAACTGCTCTTCTGGCGTGGTTCAGTACCCGCTGAGGTGCAGCAGCTTTAATCCCACTTTACGGAAATGGGAGTCTCCTCCTTTGCTTGCTCCAAGGGCCTTCTGGCTAAGGGCAAGCAAAACTCGGGGACATCCGAACCCCAGCCCTCCAGGCTTGGGCCTGCAAGTAGGATGCCTGGCAAAGGATTTGGAAACACCTGAAGCCCCAAGTGTGGGTGGAGGATGTTTGCCAGCAGTGGGGCCCCTCATGGTTCTGAACTCTTGGATTTGGAATTAGTTTTGGCAAATTTGGCCTGGGATACAAATTAAAAAGAAACAAACCCTCAAGTGGGGGCATCTGAACCCCAAGACCGCTAGGCTTGGGTCTACACGTAGGATGCCTGCCAGTGGATCTGGGACTCTCTAAAGTCCCCGGGTGAAAGCCTGGGACAGAGGCTGCTCACCAGTTGTAGCACTGCCATACATGGTATTTTGAGTGATTGAGTCCTGCCTGCTCAATACATGTTTTTTTGTAATGATTGAGTTCTGCTCAGTTGATATGATTTGACCCTGATCGCGAATATATATAAGCCCCAAAAGATTACCTAGGAGTGACTTGGGTTTGCATATGCTACATCAAAAATGAGGCTATAAAGATTTTGTTGTTGTTGTTGCGAAAACCGAGTTGGTCCGATAAAAGAGACCGCCTCCTCTACCACGAGTCCTGATGGCTTTCGCTCCTGGAGCAACACAGCTACAGCCTGGACACCCTCGCACACTTGGCGCGCTTTCGGGACTGTCGCTCGCGCGAGGCTTGTCACTGAGGGACAACTAGGGACAGGCCGGAGCCCTGGCACCCCCGGGGCTGCCCGCCCCCACGCGGCGCGGCGCGCGGGCTGAGCCGGGGCTGTGGGCGGGCGGAGC